CAGCCTCTCTCCTCCTGCTACTGAGTAGCTGAAAGGAAGACACAGGCACACCAAGCATGGGGAAAGCTCCTCCAGCGGTGAGCAGAGGCTCCTGCCCTCACGTGTAGCTCATCATATTTACAGGGTGGTCCCAGCCTGCATTCAACCCCCCTCACATGCCCTAAGGTGAAAAGAACCCAGCACAGGAGAGCAGAGCCAAAGCCCCTCTCTCCTCCTGCTACTGAGTAGCTGAAAGGAAGACACAGGCACACCAAGCATGGGGAAAGCTCCTCCAGCGGTGAGCAGAGGCTCCTGCCCTCACGTGTAGCTCATCATATTTACAGGGTGGTCCCAGCCTGCATTCAACCCCCCTCACATGCCCTAAGGTGAAAAGAACCCAGCACAGGAGAGCAGAGCCAAAGCCCCTGCCCCACGGCCGCTGGGGGTGAGCTGGCTGTGCCAAGGAGCAGTGTCACAGCCGCAGCCCTGGGTGGCTGTTCTGCAGCAGAGAACAGATAAATGTGCAGGTGAGGTAGAGCCACAAATGGCACATGGCAATGTGTCAGTGGTGCTGGTCTCCACGCAGAACACCCTGCCAGGCACAGCGTGCCCTCAGCTCCCTCTCTGCCCCGGTCCTTGTGAGAATAGAAGTGGGACTGAGCTGGCCATGAGGCCTGGAGCTCAGTGAAGATGAAGTTAAAGGAGGGCTCGAGCTCATTTTGTTCCCATTTTTTTGCAGCCTGAGAGCTGGACACATATACAGTGTGAATGGTGGATGCTGATGCAAGTGAAGGTTATCCCTGAACAAAACTGGCATGTAACTTTGAGTGAGAAGCAGACAGGCCACCAGTTCAGCCTGTCTGCAGCTTTCTCTTCGCTCACATTGAAGAGAAGGAGAAAATGAAATGAAAAAACCCATGCTGCTTATATCAGAACACTGGTAAGAGCTGCCATTTAGAAAATGACATACCCTAAGTCAGCACTTCACCAGAAACCATTCCTGGTGTTAGTGGCACTCACAGTCTGGAGAACTGGGGGCAGAGCCAGGATTAGCCCATCCCCACGCCCTCCCGCTGGCCGCTGCTCAGGCAGAGCTCCTGCGGGGGGGGGCAGGACGGGGTGTGAGCGTGGCCCAGGCCAGGCTGGCTGCCCGCAGAGCAGGCCCCACAGCTGCACCCCTATGGAGAGGCAGCTCCCCTCACCCCAGCACTGCCCACTGGAAAAGAACCTCTGCCAAAGACATGTCATGAAGCTGCTCTGTTCAGTGTGCCTATGAGCTTCTAAAAAAATAACGTTTAGAAGTATATATATGCCTGTATTTCTTGAATTCCATTTTACAATGTAGCTAAAAAGAACAGGAGAGCACTGAGAGCAGGCGTGAGCAGACTGCCGCACTTCCCACGCGCGAAGGCCCGAGCGTGGGGGTGCCTGTGGCCAGGGCTGCCCCACCACAGTCCAACCCCGCTCCTGAGGGAGCTCAGGGGCCTTCCTAGCCCTGCCCTTCACACTATGGGCTTCACACCTTCACAAAGGCTGCTGGCCTCCTGCAGCCGCACGGCTGCCGGCACGCTGGGCGGAGCACGGGGCAGAGCAGCACGGGGCCGTGGCAGGGTTGGTGGTAAGGAAGCCTGGCATCTTCACGTGAAGCTTTCAGGCTGGAGGGACGAGAGGTCAGGTCCTTTATTCATGGGGCCTACTTCTCTTCTGCCTTCGAGTTCCTTTATGGTAACGTGGGCAGGACAAATGGGCCTTAAAGCCAGCACGAGCCTCAGCTGTGCTCATGCCAAGGCCCTTAGCCAAAGCAGAGGAAGGGGTCATGCCACAATTAAGAGCGATGTCCTGTGTGTGAAATGGCAGACACTGGCAACAGCAGCCTATTTAGACAAGAGTCTTTGCTTTTTCTGATGTGCACAGCACACTTCAGAAACCCCATGGCCCAGATTTGCTGCTCAGCGTGGTCAGCTGCACCAGTCCTTGTGTGTGCATTTTTGAGAGGCCCAGCTTGTGAGTTCAAGGCTAGAGTTTCTCTTTGCAATTCCTCTTCCCACAGAGCCCTCTTTGGCTCGTCAAAGGAAGCCTGCCTCTTTCCACAGGAGGGGAAAGCAAGACTCTGAAGTAACATCAGCTGTGTTGTGAGCTCAGCAGCACTTTAAGTGGCCACGTATTATTAATTCAGTGGCGCTCACTTTTACATCCTTTATCATAACGAGCTACTGTGGTACTCAGTGGATGCCATGTGTATTTCCAAAGAAATTTCATTGTGATTTATCAATTAATTAGTGGGCCATTACACTTTATTGAAGTGTTACCCAGAGTCTTAAACGTTCATTACTGCCTCCAGAGCAAACACTTTCACTTCCCCCCAGCCTGCCAGCATCTTGCGCTCGGGCTGTTCTGCCAAAAGCTCTCCTTGGCTTTTCGTGGTGTCGAGGACTGCGAAGGAGTGGTACCAAACCACCAGAAGGGAGTGTGATTCCTCCAGCCTCATTCACCTGGCCACAGACACTGCACTTGTATGTCTTTCCTAAATGGATAGGACCAGGCAAAGGGAACAGGGAAGGCTGCAGAGAAACCCCACCCACCCCACCCCCCCTTGCTGAGGTTAGAGGTGCTGCTGAAGTTCAATGTCTTAAAAATCTGTCCACAGAGAGCAGGTAAAAGCAGGCACCCAGGTAATTCCACAGCTGCATGCATGAAAAAGCAGGCAAGCTCTGAGAGGTTTTCTCCTGAATGATCTCCACAGGTGGGGACAGCAGGGGTTGGCTACATTCAGTGCCAGCTTCTCTGAAGAGGCAAGTCCATTGAACAGGCAGGTGTCAGTCACAATGGCAGCACCAGCCCTGTGAGATGAGAGTGAAGGAGCTCTGGCATTTTCATCGTCACAGGACAAAGTCACCAGTAGCCAGGCCCCATCCACCATCCACCTCTGACACGCTGCAGGCCAGCAGCCATGCCATGGACATCCATTCTTTTGCCAGAACAAAAAGTGAGAGAATTTTTGATTTCTCCATGCAATCCCTCGCATCTTTTTCTCTGCCAGCCTGTAATTTCTGGAGGGTGCACTGCCAGGAGTGCTGCTAGATGACAGGTCAGTCTTAAAAAGGGAATGTGTGAATGTGTGCGGGCGTTAACAGCCATGTCTGTACAAGCCAATTCCTTGTTAACTGAGGTTTCAGCAGCTATTTATCAGAGCAGGAGGAAAAAACAGGTGGAGAAATACTGATTAAAAATAAAATAGGCACAACAATAAAAGATGAGGCTATTGCATTTTGAACCAATGGCACTGTGTTAATAGGAGGGCCCAGTGGCCCCTTCTGCTCCTCTCCCCTGCTCCTCTCCCCAGCCACCCCAGCACTGGGCTAAGAGAAGACCTGGCTGTGCTGCTGGGTGACCCGGATAAACGTTGTTCTCCTGCTCAGTTCCTTGAGTTTGGCAGCTCCCACGTAGGTGCAGGTGGAGCGCAGCCCCCCGAGGATGTCCAGGATGGTGAGTTCCACGTCCCCTCTGTACGGCACCTCCACAGTCCTGCCCTCTGAAGCCCTGCAGAAGAGACTGGTTACTGCATGTATGTCGAGATGCAACACTTAGTCCTGCAGATGCCACAATATCCCATGATCTGCCCTTTCCTCCCCTCCACCATCTGCCTGCAAGCAAGTGAACCTTCCAGGTTTATTGAAAGGTAAATTTGACCTGGAGAGCTGCAAGTTTTAAAGCCTAGGTCTCCCCTCTTTCAGTTTAAAACCATCACCCTTGTCCTGTTGCAACACGCCCTGCTAAAAGTCTGTCCCCGGTTTTCTTATACTTCCCTTTTCAGTAGTGAATGGCCACAAAAAAGTGTCCCTGAAGACTCTTCTTCCCCAGGCTGAACACCCCCAACTCTCTCAGCCTGGCCTCACAGCAGAGGGGTTCCAGCCCTCAGATTATTTTTGTGGCCTCCTCTGGACCTGCTCCAACAGAGTTATGTCTTCCTGTGCTGAGGGCTCCAGAGCTGGACACAGTGCTCCAGGTAAGGTCTCACCACTGCAGAGCAGAGGGGCAGAATCCCCTCCCTTGACCTGCTGGCCACGCTGCTTTTGATGCAGCAGGATGTGATTGGCTTTATGGGCTGTGAGCACATGTTGCATGCTCATAGTTTTTCATCCACCAGTAATCCAAGTCCTCCTCCACAGAGCTGATCTCAATCCCCATGTGGAAATGCTCTGGCTGTCTCCTACCAGCCTCATTCTCCAGAGCCCACATACACAGAGTGGGAAACCTGTTACAGAAACCTGCTGCAGAGCTGTCCCCTCAGGAGAAAAGGTGAGCTCAGTCCAGAGCCAGGCACAAAGGCCAGAGGAAACAGCAGTGCTGTGAACACTGTGAGTACAGGCACATGCCAGCACAGACTGCACTCTGCACAAAAGCACATCTCAGAAGTTCCACGGTGGAAGAATCCAGGCGAGTAACTTTCACTCCTTCCCCTTCAGCCTTCTCCAGCCTCATGCTCAGCAATTCCCCCTGCAGCAGAGCTCCCCAGTCACTGGCTGACCTCACCAGGCTTTAGAGCAAGCTTGTTCTGCCCAGCACGCGAGCTCCTCTGGAGAGGGAGGCCTTGGGAAGGGGGTTGAAGTGCAGTGCAGAGGGGAGAGAGCATTGCTCTCCTCCTGCCCTACAAAATGGAGACAGAAATCACGGCAGGGCTCTGCTGTCATCATAAATGTGGTTTTATTTACTTCTCCCTTAAACAAGTTGTCTAGGGGACAGTGCAGGAAATAAAGGGCATGCCTGTTTGGAGGCTCCGTTTGCAAATCATTAACAACAGCAACAGCAGCTATGTGGAGGTACTTCAGCATGAGCCCGGCTATATTTCACTCTGGTAGTTTAAGTAGGAGGTCAAAGCCCCAGGGAGACAATAAAGGAGAAGTGTTAATATGCTATGTGAATAAGGAACCATGATTAATCTCCCTACAGCTGATGAGTAATTGGCTCTTCCCTGAAACTCTTTCAATAAACACAGCAGTAAGCAGCCAATGGGAAATGTATGGGCTGCTGCCATCCAGCAGGCTGCACGGGGCTCCGTGGGGTGCTGCTGCTGCTGGGAGTTCACAGCCTTGGGTTTTCAGCTCCCGTGCCAGCAGGAGAGAAAGCCCAGCCCACAAAATGACACAGAAGCAGTCATGCTACCATTCTGCACCTTGGGTTTTGGCCATGCCCACCTCCTCCAGTCAAAGCCAGGAGGCTCAGCTCAGCCTCCGGGGAGCGTCCTGGACTGTGAGAGACAGTTCATGGCTGGGACTGGGGGAAACCAGTGTGAATTTTACACACCAGATCTTGTCACCTGAACAGCTCTGTGTGCTGTAGTGGGCAAGGAATGCAGGATTTACTGCATTTGTGCACGACTGCCTGCTCAATTCATGCATGGGAGTCCAAGTAATTTATGCATGAATGCCCCATCAGTTCAAGCATGAGCGCCCTGTTAACTCATGCTGGAGCATCATGTGGGGCGTAAGCTGCAGGAGCCAGCAGAGAGCTGACTGCAAACAAAGGCAGCCCCAGCTACAGTGGTTCCACAGCCCTGCAGGGATGGGACCACTGCTCCCGAAAGCAGGAACACTTGGCAGTCCTTTTTTACAGAGCAAAACTGCAGAACTATGGGACACTTACAGCCACCACCGCTGGGAGATGCCCCTGCAGTGCCTGTGGTGGTGTTAGGCTGCAGGATGCTACTTCTGGCTTTGGAGATTGAAACCTACAGAAGTGGTGAACACCCAAGATCAGAGCCCCCAGACTCTGACAGCTAGACAGTTGCTGCTGCTCCTGTAGGGTCAGGTGATGAGTTGGTGGGATGTCCTGTTGATCACAGAGTAGCAGAGGTGAGAAGTGCCATATAGGCCATAAATTGCTGGGCTTGCTGTGTTCTTAAAAAAACCATTGAATCATTAAGGTTGGAAAAGACTTTAAAGATCATCAAGTCCAGCTGTCAACCCAACACTACCATGACCACTAAACCATGTCCTGAAGTGCCATGTCTACACGTTTTTTTTGAACACCTCCAGGGATGGTGACTCCACCACCTCCCGGGAAATGAGCTCATGCATGAGAACTGAATAAATTAATGCATGAATGCCCAATTAATTTCTGCATAAGCATCCAATTAGTTCATGCATGCCCAAATAATTTATGCCCAAGCACACTGTCAGTACTTGCATGAGCACCCAAGGTGTTAATGCATGAGCACCCAGTTAAGGTACATGCACACCCCACTGTCAGACACATGGGTGCTCTGTTGGGCAGATATGGTGGAAGTTGGGTAGCAAGGGCTGCTGCTGTGACCTGTGTGGGAGAAGGCCATGATCTGCTTCATGCCAGTTACAGCCATGGTTCCACCTGGCTCTGAAAACAGTGGGAGCCACCAAAACTTCAGCAGGTCAGGGGAGCACAGGACACCTCTGCTCAAGTGTACTTAGGAAACAGCAGCAGCCACTGGGAGAGGAGAAACACCTGGACACGCTTGAGGGATCTCCTTCTCTGGAGACAAAACACACCTGGCTGTGATCCTGTGCAACCTGCTCTAGATGACACTGCTTTATCATGGGCGTTGGACTAGGCGATCTCCAGAGGTCCCTTCCAACCCCTACCAGTCTGTGATTCCATGAGGAGACGCACAACTGGAGATGCACTTTCCAAAGGAGGTGCTCCATGCCTAAGGTGTGTACTCCCAAAGGACTGTAGTCCCTGGGTGACCTATGCCAGAGCAGGGGCAGCTGCAAAGGGACTGTGGCCCGTGGACAGCCCACAATGGAGCAGGCACAGTAAGGAGGCGTGGCAGACAGGAGCCATTACACACATGACCACAGCACCCTGTGCTGCCCCTCTCCTCACCCAAGCAGTTGGGACAGACCGAGTGTGACCTGTGGTGAAAGTGAAGGGAGATGAGATGGGCTGGTGAAGAGAGGTGTCTGGCTTTAGTGGAGCCTGGAACAGGGGTTTACTGACGTGTGTGTTTACCCAGCAGTGGTTAGGAGTTTATGTTAGCTGGTGATAAATGAAACTAAGTAAAATTCCCCACGTTGAGCCCATTCTGCCACTAACAAACACCTGCACACAGACCATGCTTGGACTACAAGGGGTGTCACAAAAGCTGGCACGCCTGGCAGAGAGCTGCACAAGCAAGTCAGAAGGAACTGCTGAGGGATTTGCAGCTCTGACATCTGTCCCGGAGTCATGACCCAAAACTAACCCTTTCTCAGAAAAGAAAGGTGAAGACAGAGCAATTGGGGCTCCCAGCCAGCTCACGCCTGGCACAGTGGGTGGAATCCTGCCAGGGTGGATGGGTGAAGCACACGTGATGGTGCTCTGTCAGCCCAGCAAAACCTGGGTCGGGATAAATGGATCAGGCGGCCCCAGCGTGGGGCAACCTTATGAGTGGAGCATTTAAGAAACGTCAGGAATTGGGGGCAGGTCTTCCAAGCTGTCCTTCGGGTTACAGAACGAAGACAGCAAGCAGCAGCCAGCTGCTGATGCTATTCTGTCTCTGTGGCCCGAATTCCACCCTACAGTTAGTATAAAGTGCCAAAACCCAGCTTAGTAGCAGCTGTGAACTGCTGAGTGACCACAGCAGAACGGCAGCATTCACACAAAACCTGGGACATCTCCAAAGGGTTAACGAAACCAAGCTGGCTCTGGCTGAACAACACTGCCTGCGGTCTCCATTCCTGCCTGCCTTATTTATTTTCTCCCATAAAAGAAACTTAGTAATTGCCTTTCAGAAATTCCCAGCTCTGATCCATGTACCTCGTGGAAGGAGGTAAAAATGTAAAAATAAACCAATATATAAATGACATAAAAGTAATGAAGCCAGGAACACACATTTCATACAAAATTAAATGGGATCAACTTGACATATTCATTACAAAAACAATTACTCTCACAACTTCATTCCCTGCTACAGCCATCTCACCCTACCTGTCAATTTTAATTTAACTGTTTGCTGGAGGCTCAGGTTCTCCAGCCAAAATATGTAATTTTGAGAAGATGAAGTTAAGTGACAAGCAGTCTGATTCTGCAGGGGGCTGAGCAGGCTGAGCTCCACAACTCTTGAATAAAACATTGTGAGTACTCAGGCTCTTTTAAAGAGAACAGCTTATTGGGGTCACTGGTACTGACTTAGAGCTGGGCTTTTTAAATGCATATGAAGAAGCCCCACTGACTTGGCCTGTTTGGGGTAGCCAGCATTTAAAACGCTGAGTGAGAACCCTTTTGGTTCAAGTTTGCCAAAAGCTAAACTACTAAGTGACAACTTTCCATAATTTCTCCTAGAATAGTAATTCAAAGCAAACCCTTGCCCTGTTTCAACCATCCCTTCAGTGCCCAGCACATTTACAGTGCTGGGGAAGTAACAGTGGCTATTTTTGAACCACAGTGATACTGCAGTTGGACAAGCCAAGCAAGACCACCACCAAGGCTGGTATGGGACTCCTACAAGACATAACACTTGCACTATATCCCACTTTTAAGGAGGATCAGTGCCAATTAATTCCCTGCTGGTGATAAATCCTGTTGCCAGATCAAACGCACACCTGGCTAGGTGGAGCAGAATTTAAGAGCTGCCTTAGTCCTTTGGCCCACTGGTACAGGAAGCCTCCTCAAACCTTTCCTGCACATCTCAGCAGCTCTGTGGTGGCCAAGCCCCAAATGACTGTGTTGTACTGAGAGGCACGCAGCATGGCTGGGCTGTTCTGTGCTCTCCCAGGGAGCTGCCATTAACTACGTGCCTGAGCAGCAGCAGGCCTTTCCCACACTCCAGATGACACAAGCACAGGGTGGCAAAGGACAGGAAGTTATTGTAGCTCAGATAACAGGCTGCCAGCACCTCTGTCTAACTGGCAGCTGCCACTTGTAAATTATGAGATAATTACTACTGCTGATAGGCATTCTCCTCAGTATTCACTCTGTACTGCCTGTCAAAAAATATGTTGTTTTTTTTTTCCCCCTGCAAAAACAACTGTCTTTGCAATGTGCCCAAACTCATCACGAGCTCCTTTTCCTTGAAGAACTCTTTACTATCATCTCTCATACCCATGTTCAACTGATTTGCTTCTCTTCAGAAGTCCTGCTCAGAAGCAGCACTGAACCAGACTGCATCTAGCAGGCACAGACCACCAGGAAAGGGCAGCAGTCACAAGCTCTCCATTTCCCCATTTTCACACAGCCTTCTCTTTTAATGAGCCTGGGTTTTCTGCCAGGCCAGGAAGGCTAAAGACTTCATTTGTCTCCAGGTCTCTCCTCCACAATGTCTACCACTAGACTTCCTTATCTCCATTATTATTGCAGTCTAAGCTCATAGTAATTGAGTATCTTCAGCAGTGACATAGGCAGCAGGACCAAGCACACCCTGAGCAAGTCTGGCTATGACACCAGGCTGAGTGGTGCGGCTGACACACCTGAGGGACAGGATGCCATCCAGAGGGACCTGGGCAAGCTCAACATGTGGGCCCATGGGGTTCAAAAGGCCAACTGCAAGGTCCTGCACCTCTGTTGGGGCAGCCCCTGTATCAGCAGAGACTGGGGGATGAAGGGATGGAGAGCAGCCCTGGGGAGAAGGACCTGGGGGTACCGGTGGATGGAAAGCTGGGCACGAGCCGGCCATGTGCCCTCGCAGCCCAGAAAGCCAATCTCATCCTGGGCTGCACCAAGAGAAGCACAGCCAGCTTGAGGGAGACCAGACCCCACCTGGAGTTGTGCGTCCAGCTCTGGAGTCTTCAGCACAGGAAAGACATGGACCTGTTGAAGCAGATCTAGAGAAGGCCCCAAAAATGACCAAAGGGCTGGATCCCTTCTGCTGAGAGAGTTGGGGCTGTTCAGCCTGGGGAGGAGAAGGCTCTGGGGAGACCTTATTGGGACTTTTCAGTACTTAAAGGGAACAATAAGAAAGATGGAGACAGGGTTTTTTTCAGGGCCTGTTGCAACAGGACAAGGGGTGATGGTTTTAAACTAAAAGAGGAGAGATTTCATTCTACCAGATGGGACCAGAGCCTGAATGTGCCCCAGCAGAGAAGACGAATCAAAAAGGGACTCCTCTATTGATACTCTCAGGACACTGTAAGAGAGGGAACACTCTCTAACCAGTATGGAGGAACCACCTTGCCCAAGGGCAGCGACTGGACCTGCCACTCAGAAGAGAAAAGATGCAGGGGATTTTTGGAATCATCTGCTTTACAAAAAAAATTTCTCAGCACATTCCAGAGTAAAGAGCAATGGACAAGAGATTCCTTTGCAAAGCCTGCCTTCCTTTCCTCTCCCCTGAGGATTTTAGCCCAAAACCCAAGCTCCCACATGCTGCACAACTGAAGTGCTGGGGTTTAAATTCCCAGCCCTGAATGAGGGTGGGCATATGGATGATGTCCACAACCAGGCAAGAAAGACCCTCCTGACTGGTTTTCACCCAGGGTCTGTCAGCCTTGGGTGGAAAACAATTAGATCACCATGATGTGCCTCTGCCTTTGGCATGAACATCTTGTCCTGCCTCCAAGTTAATCACCTAAAAGCTGTCTCTGCTTGCAGTGGTGTTGGGAAGCCTACCTACATAGTAGAGGTACTGTGTAGGCTTTCCAGTTACTGGAAGGGCTCCCTGACTCTGCCACAAGTAGAGTGCCCAGCAATGGTGGGACAAGATCAAGATGGAAAGAGGATTATATATGCAATGATGCCTTTCTCTGGCAGTCATTCTAGTGATTTTTGTATGGCTGGAACTGGACTGATGACTTGGTTTCTGGTTTGGCTCGCTCCTTTCGTTACATGACATACCATGAGTGAATATCTCCATTTGTTTACTCCTGTTGTGTGTCACACTGTACCTTTTCTGTATTCTTTGGAAGGGGGTAGTAAAACCTGGTCTGTGTGCCTCCAGCTAATGGCTTTATGCTGGGGCAAGCACTCAGCAAAAGAACGATCTGGGGCTGCTCTGGTGCTGCTACCCAAAATGGAGTGGGCAATCTGTACAGGATTCTGCTGCCTTAGAGAACTGTCCAACAAACACAGGAGGGAGTCCTGGGGCTACCACCTGTGACTGAGACTGCTTTGGAGGTCCTGGACCCTGACAGATGTAACTCCACTCTGTACTGGGGAAACCCCATCTGAGTGTCACCAATTCACTAGGCATCCACTTTTTGCAAACAGAAGGGAGCTTGTGGGCCAGCTGGGAAGCCACACACCATGACAACACCCAACCTGGACAAGCAGAGAGCCATGAACTGCAGCCTGGTACACCATGTTCCTGCATTTAATTCAAACACATACCAAGAGACCTGTAAATCAGAACAGTGTCCAGAGACTTCCCAGATTCACTGCACTGGCTGCTATCGAGTGAACCTGGCTGCTCTCAGCTAGGCATCCCCAGCTCCTTCTCCCTGTCTCCCCCTTGATGTCATCCCTCCCTCAGAGCTGCTGCCATAAGCAGTGGTAACAGCCTCCTAAACAGGAACAGAGGCATGGGCCTGTTTCCAACAGATGCCTTTTGCACAATTCTGCTCCAGAAGCTTCTGGATGGCTGGCTCACAGCAAGGGCTCCGTGTGGAATTCATACCTGTATTCAGCAACTCCTCCTGCGTGCTTCTTCATGGCTGTATCAGAGCTCATTCCATAGAAGAGTTTCACCTTCTTGCCATTCTTTTCCATAATCTCTCCAGCACACTGGTCGTGGCCTGCAAACATTCCTCCAAGCATGACAAAATCAGCACCGGCTCCTGTCATCAGCAAAGTGGCAAATAAGGAAGCAGGGAGGGGAGAAGAGGGTGAAAAACAAAGCAAGAACACAGTGGCCTCCAAAAAGAATAGCCGGCCCTGAGAGATGGTACAGAGAGTCCCCTCCTGTAACAGGTGCAGCAAACTTGGACAAAATGCTTTACTGGAGAACAGACACATGCTGAATTGTATTTCTCTGGTATTTTAAATGGAAGGAATCCTTTTCTGGTGTGATGACAAAGATTATTCTACTCCACCCCACACTCTTTATTTTCAAATTCAGTTTTAACCCTTTACTTTATGATAATAAATATAATAATTCTCCCATTATGATAATGGCATCTGAGCACAGTTCCTTAGTAACTACTGTTGTGAATGCAGAAGCCTTGATCACAGAGCTGGGGCCTGTTGAGCTCAAAGCTCCTACTTCAAAATCTTTCTAGGCCATGAACCCTTGAGTGGAAATGCACTCTGAACAAAGGCATACTCATGAATGCAAAGCACTCCTCCCAGCACGGACACAAAACAAGCAGATTTTTTAATGAAATGATGGATTTTTCAAGTCCATCAGCCAAATGTGTTCATTGTAGGTCTGAGTGATTCCTTGTCAAGAAGATCTGGATAAGTCTGCATTTGATTCCTGTTATTTAAAAACTCTGGGCCAAAGACCACCACGCCAGAGTTTTGTGGTTCTCAGCACACACCACAGAGGAGGTCTAACCCATCACTAAATCTCCTAAATATGTTCCAGATACTGAATAACAACACTGAATACTCAGTCCTGCCTGTGCAGTCTGTACATCTCCCCTGGCTTTGCAAATCATGAAATCAGTTCCATTGGGAATAAGATCAGGAAGAAGGTTTTTGGAATCCCTCTTGATTTCCTACTGTGATTTCCAATATTTCCAGCTGGGCTGGAACTATTCCACCAGCAGCTCAGTCTGTGATATTTTGGCATACCTAGTTTTGCTTGGAAAAGTTTGGGCTTTACTCTTTTATGAGCCTGTGGTGACCCATCCCTGAAACAAAGCATTTTCCTGTTCAGACTCTGCTTCTTCAATGTGTATGTGTCAGAACAGGCCTCCCCTCTGCCCAGCTTCTTCCCAGAACTGGCAAAAGCACAGGGCTACAAACCTCACTCCACAGAAAGCAGATGAGCCTGAACTAACCCCACCCCGTTACGGACGTGTCCGAACTCTGGGGAGACCTCAGGCTAGGTAAGTCTGGCATTAGGATTTGCTCTGATCTGTCACTATCCAAACAATAGCACTGGAACTCGAAATCTGAAGAGGAAGTGAAATCATTATCAAACCTGCTCAGCTGCTGCCATCTGTTTAAGAGCTCTGCAGACAAACCTGAATTTGGGAATGTTTTGATCTCAGAATACATGACAACTGCAGAGAGTGCACTGATTAATAAAAGCCAGTTCCCTCCCTGCAGCCCTCTGCCAAAGAGCAGACCTAGCAGCACCGCCCGGGAGCAGAGCACCCAGCTGCTCTGCTGACCTCACCTCCCTCTGCCTGGTTGTTGTTTGAAAGGAACAGTATGTCCGTGGTAAAGGGCCATTAAAAATGAGCCTTGTGCAAAACTGCTGAGCACATCACAAAGCAATATTTATAGCCAGGCACCCATTCAGGTGTCCTATCATGCCAGCTACCTGGCAGATTTTTCCTGAGCTCTCGTTTCAGATGGCTGAGTTTTAAAGCCTCGGTTTGACTCATGTCTGATATTACTATTAACCTGCTAAAAATGAAGGGAACTTTCATGCTTTAAGATATTTCCAATTACTGGTGGGGAGCTCCTGTTGTTACCTGGCACAGTCTTGCTTCACCTTTGTAAAAAACAGAAGTATCCTGGGAAATCTAGTTGATGTTTCTTCACGGGTGGAAGAAAACAACATGAGGAAAGAGGGATGGATCTGGAGTCGAGGTTTCAAAGAGGGTGTTTAGACAAGTCAGAGGCCTGCCAAAGGACACTCTGGTCTCTTTGCCTTGTCTGTACTATCTCCTGATCCCTAATTCTAGTCCTGTCTCTGGCTGTGGATCTCACAGCCTCCAAGTTAGTAATGCAAACCAGTCACATGAAATTTACACTAGAATCACAGAGTTTTGGTTTCTGTGCACTTAAGTGTCTCTTTGTTATTTTTTCTTTTGACTGCGTATTTTGGGAGGAAAGCAAATATGTTTGAATTACAGGATTGAAACTCATCCAGTTTGAGTAACTTTTGCAAACTACAAGATAATTCATCAAGATCTTTCAGAAGAGAGGACCCATGTTACAGCAGACACAGTCCATCTAAACACTGGAATGACACAGGCTCACTGCCCTGCAGCTCCAGGAACAACAAACTTGTATTAAAATATACTTTTCCAACCTGCTCCACAGCTTTCCACCTTGCTTCAGTGTTGCAAAGATGTCTGAAAGTTTCAAGTCCATTCCACTACTTTTTTAGGAGTTAACATCCAGCCAGGAGGTTGTTGTATGCTGTTGTATTTGGTGTGGTTTTGCTTTAATTATGCATGATTTTTTGTGTGACCAGAAGCATGGTGATGTTTGCAACACCGAGCTGCAGTCTCACATTTTCATGTACAGATACACAGCGTGCTCATTTTTTTTTAGGTTGGAGGGGACTGGCAACACCTGGCAACAACTCCCTAGATAATGCAGGATGTGATGGGGGACGTTGCATACAAGCATCCCAGTAGCTCACCCAGAGCTTGCCAGACTTGTCCTGTTTCTAGCCAATGCCACTTTGGTGCACCAGTGCTGGGGAGGACGTCCCCATTGAGGCCTGTGCTGCAGCTGGTGATTTTGCTCATTCACATTTCACAGCACCATCTCTTTCAAGCCATTGCAGAATGTGTGTGCTGACGCCAGCCCAATTTTGCAGCACTCACACAGCTCTGCTGGATCTCGATGGAGGCCCTCTGATGTCTTTTGCATGCCTGATAACCAGGCTAGCTCTGCACAAATTCAGCTGGAGTCAGCCTGGACTTGTAGCCTGGGCAGCCCTCCAGGCAGATGCAGTGTAACTTCGCCTGGACCACAGCTGGGCCTGGAATCCACATTCACCTGTGCTGCAGCTGAGCCTCTGCAACATAGGTATACACAAAGAGCAACTGAAAACAGGGAAAAAAAAGCCAGTGTGATCTGTCAGGTATGTTTTGGAAGCAGTATATGTCCCCAGCTGACTTTTCCACATCATTCTCCCTTCTTTTTCCTTCCCTGCTCCTGTATCTCTTCTCACCACTGCTGTAAGGAACAGCAGTATTGTGTTAGAGATGCTGGCGGAGGATTCAAAAGGCACATTCTGTTCCTGGCTGTGTCACAAAAATATATGTGACCTCAGGCAACTGAACTTAGCATTTCTGTGCTTCCACTGCTCATCCTCAAAAAAGAAGACAGGATCTTCACAATCCCCCAGTGTCTCCTTGGGGCATTCTGAGAAATGTGTTCATGTTATCAGCCCTTCCAGGGGGGCAGTTATGTGAACCATCTGAGAGCCCAACACAAAGTTCTTTCATCTTTTCTCTCATTCCTGCATCAAAACACCTCTCTTTTTTCCTGATTAATCTACGTCTTTTCCATTATCATCTTCAATATCCAGGTGGCAGTGACATCTTCAGTTTCCCAAATCCTCACAAGGTTCCCATCCAGCAGTTCTAGAATTCCAGCAGTCTCTCCCAAAGTATCTGTCACTCCTGGCATTTTTGTGCCCCAACTTCAATGCTTCTCTCTTCCTTGCTTTTATAAACAGGCTTCTGTCTGGTTTCCCCTCTGTCAAAATGCTTCTGACTCCTGACACCTCTCAATGGTGTCACCTCCCACTTGTAAAGCTTCTCAGCATCTTCTTCATGGTTCTTCACAACTCTTCACTTGCACTCAATCCACTCTGCTCCCCTGTTTTCATGAACTTGCCTCCTCCAGTCAGACCTTTAGCCAGTTTCAATGCTAGTCTTCACATCTACAACGACCTCACACTTTTTATGATTCAAATGGCTGCTTTGTCACTGCTTTACAATGAACACCTCAACATCCTTTTCATAAAGACTTTACAACATCTGCCAAAGAGATTGTATAATCCCTTGAACTAAAAACATTTGCATCTCTTTGCATCTCTCTTCTATGCTCTGTCCAGGCCTCCACCCCCAGGTGAAATGGTACAGATGTATGTTTTAGCACTGGTCTCTGCTTTCATACATTTACATATCTCCTCCCCACCCAGGAGGCTCTCACCTGGCTCCAGCTAGAGAGATGTCCACAATGTGTCTGCCTCAATTAGACATTACCAGGTATGGTAAATTTATTGCTTCTGCCAATAAATAATCTCTGTTAGTTCCAGCCCTGTACCTGTCTGGCCTAATGTCAGAGTAGAACTATTGCCTGTATAATCTCAGGTCTCTGATGCTTCTCTGTCCCAGGGACAACTCGAGGTAGCCTTCACCATGAACCATTGTGAATCCCATCACCTCCAGACAATCAGGAATGCCAGAATCTGCCCTTTCACAGGTTTCAAGCAAGTTTCTGTTTAGTTAGCCCAAAGAGACTACAAGGACCCTTCAGACTTAATATAAACATCATAAAGGAAAACATTTTGGAGACTCTGAATTTCCTTTCTGTTGTTCTAAGTTCTGGAAAAGCTCTTGTTGAAAAGAAGACCTTTTCCATGGGCCAGGTTTCTGTGCAGGCAGCTGAGAGTGCAGCGAGGTTGCAATCCCAGTTCACAAGCTCCCAATGAAAACACCAGCAAGAACTGGGCAAGCTGCAGAGCCAAAGTCAGGCAGAACAAAGGCCTCACTGCAGGTGGCATGAAGTCAGAGCAGACTGGGTTGAGGAGAGGTCAGGTGGGGTTTTTTAATGCAATCTTGTTGTCAAAGAGGGTGGATGCCACTGTCCAGCTGCACCAGAGTCACCTAACTGGAAGTATCTATTCCCTACATCCCATCACCTACTGGGTAACACAAGGGTGCTGTGAAATCCTGTGACTGAGCAGATTCCTTGCTGGTAGCAATCACACTATGGCTGTGCTTAAAATTCTCTAATTAAGTCTTCCTTGTCATCTGACCTGTCTAAAAACAGGAGCTGTCTGCAAACTTAGAAGACAGATTTTGGTTTCAACCTTTCCAGGAGGCACGGAGTTTTTCTTGGCAGGTCTGTAATCTGAGTTTAAGCCTGGCCCTGCTTGCCATACTTGCAAAGCTTCCTGCCAAGCAGACATGCTGTATCACAATGTCCTAGCTCTTGTATCGTACCACCCCAAAATCCCCAATCCCAATGAGGCACTGCCCCACTGTATCCTGGATACTACCCTACCATGGCATCTCCAAAGGCTCTGGCATTTTGGGTGATGGGGAATGTCTTTAAATGTCCTGCCAGCCCAAGATGTATTTAGAGCCTGGTTCACATATACCCCTGCAACAAGGTCACACTAAGTGACAGTCCTGATCTTGAGCCCCCACCCTGAGTAACTTTGATGCCCAACACAAAATACTCACAGATTAAATTCTCTGTTCTATCAGCAAGAGCTGGAGCAATTCATTGAAGCTAATGGCATGAGAACAGGACCTGTTAATTATTAACTTGGATGTTTTAGACATCTGCTCAGCTCTAGGGGATACAGTATAAATAAAATCTCATCTCTTAAAGTGGACAGCTGATCCCAAGAACATCTCCAGGGATCTGGCCTGCCTTTTTGTTTTGTTCTTCTGTCCAACACACATTCCACCATCTCTTCATCCATCCAAGGCCCATGTCAGACAGATCTGGCAATGTTACAGGCATCTTTGAACCCTACTCAGAAGAAACCCTTATCAGGTTTCTTTGTATTACTGTCCCAGTGGCTGTATCCCACACACACCTGGCAGATAGTTTCTAAATAGGACTTCGACCACTGCAGAATTTGCACTGTCTGGTCCAAAGAGCAAATTCACGTCTGGTGTATAAATTTTACTGGAGTCACCCGCAGGGACGAATGGAACCTGCTGCTGATTACACAGCCAGGGTCAAACCGACTCAGCATCACTGCTGAGGGTGCTGGCGCTGCGCGGGGGTGGCGGGTGGCACCACAGGCTGTCCTTACCAAAAGCTTTGGCGACATCTCCTGGGCAGCTGCATCCTCCGTCCTGCACAAAGAGAAGAGGACAGTGAGTGGCAGCGAACCCGTATGACCCTTTCTATTGCTTTCCTTCCTCAGGCTCATTCACTCTGACAATGAGCCTACTGATAACACCACCGGTAACAGCAGCAATGCACGTTCTTACTGTAATGTCCGAAATCCCAGAAACTGGAAAACAAAACTTCCTCTAACGACCCGAATCATTCCCTGCCACTTTAACAAAGGGCAGTGTGATGCAGAGGTACCACAAACCCCTACCTTAAACCACTAAGGACATTTAAAATAACTTTCTCAGCAGTTTACAATACATTAAAAGGTCACAGTGGGAGGGGTGAGGAAATATACCATCAGCTAGGGTGGATTTTGATCTGATAATCTCTAGCAAATCAGGTAATCTCATCTTTGGTAAGTGAAAATGAATCTCTTATCTTACTCCTCACTGTTCACGATGCGTTTGGTAACGAAAGAACACTTTGAGATCTAGAATTTTAGACCTGTGTGTTTCGGTTTCAGTGCAGAGTGAAGAGGCTGATGAAGGGGTTTCAGTTGAGGGGAGAGAAGTTATGCACATGTGACAGGGCTGTAGCAAAGGAATGGCACATAACAGAGCTCATCATGTGCTACCTTTTTTTAGGTTTTGTAAAAGTCTGAGCATCAGATGAAAGATCCTTCTCCTCTACACAGCCATTGTATCAAGAGGGCTCCCCATTCTTTTGATGATCATGGTCTGCTGCAGACTGCTGACAGCTTTCCAGCTTTTGAAGCCACTCCCCAGATTGGATGGTTACTCCACGGTGCCTCACCTCCCCATTGGCAGAGACACAAGTCTGAGTGTGACCCGCGGCGCGGCACAGCCAGACACCCCCAAATCAGCCATATCAGAGCTGGCTGCCGTGGGCAGCTGGCACTGGGGGTGAGGGTTAGAATATCTGCACAGAAGAGGATTCAGACACAAACTGAGCAGGTGGATCCAACAGCGAGTGGCTTTTCAAAGGGCATCCCACTGCAAACAGCACCTGCTACAACTTTAAAGGCTTTTACTCCATTTGCTGATAACCTCTAGCACATTATTCCTTTTGTTGAGCTAGACACTCGTGCTGTCAGCTCCAGAAAGGAGTGCTGGGCTGACAGCTGAATCCCTCTCTCCTGTTAAGGACTCTGCTTGTGCAATTCCTTCCCTCTGACAAGTCTGTCAGAGCCTGGAGGAGGGGGTGAGTGTGTGTGCATGTGTCAGGGGAGGAAGAGCTGAGGTACAAAGAGCAGTCTAATAATCTTCAAAGAGCAGTATCAGGAATTTGCCTGACTCTTACTGACTGAGCCAGGCTGGCTGTGAATGCTTTCCAGTAGATGGGTTTCAGTCTGTTCCTGCTGGATGGGTCCATGTCTGACTTTTATAATTAACCCAGTAGTGGCAGTGATGTTGGCTTTAAGCTTTCAGAAGTACCATGGGGACGGGGGCCTTACTGTGTAACCATTAATCATCAGCTTCAAAAATATCACTTTGAATGTCACCGACTCACAAAATTCTGAGCAGATTAGGAGACTTTCCCAAAAGCTCATAAGTTACCATTTAAGATAAAAGGAACCAATGATGATGATTCACAGCGCTTCTTTATCTGTAGATGCCTCCACTTCACATAAGCAGGTAAATTTAATGATTCACAGAAAGGGGAATGAAAAGGGGACATACTAAGCAGTTATGCTGGAAGATGGTATATAATAAATCTATATGCATTAAACCACTTTATTCCATGTGAAATATCAAGCACTATGTTTAGAAAATAAGGCTGTGCTTCTGCTGCATTGTCTGAGAAGCCTCCCCTTGCACTTCAGCTCACCCCTAAAAAAGCCTGGTTCTGGACTCAACATGACTTGTAGAATGGCTGGCCTTCAGAAATGGAGCTTGTTGCAGGTTCAGTCTCTACCTCAGAGCCCTGGGGAAATGTCTCTGTACAGATCCCCCTGTGAATTCAGGAGAACTGGCATTATTCTGAAGTAAGCCTACTGGGAAGAGTGGCCATGATTCTGAGGGCATGATTTCAAGGGCATGATTCTCAGCCAGCTGGGTGCTAAGATGAAGAAGAGGGGAAAAGAGCTTTCCAGTCAACAGAATTATTTTAAACATGACTAAGATAATGTTATTTTTCCTAGTCTTGTTCACCGAACAGATAAACCATTTTACAAGAAAAATTTAGCCTGAAGGAAAAAAATACAGTACGAAAAACCAGTATGAACTAATCAAATCTTTAATATTATAAGCAGCCTATAATACGTTTATAACGATGATTTAAATACTTCAAGCAACCTTTATAATAAACTGTCTAACCAGCCCTTCCAACAGCATCAGCAAACAGACAGCTATTTATTATGCAGAAGTATCTGGCACATACAGCAGTAGGAACAATACATATGGTGCTTTATTCTGAACTGCATACGCTGGGCATGTTTCTGTGTGGAAAGAGT